CTGGACCTCAACCGCAAGGATCCGATCGCAGTGTGCACCGCTGGACCTCAACCGCAAGGATCCGATCGCAGTGTGCACCGCTGGACCTCAACCAGATAGTTTGTCAGATAAAATGCCAGATAGAATGCCAAGTAGATTGCCAGATAGAATGCTGCAAGAAGGGATGCCAGATAGTATGCCACATAGTGTGTCAGATAGATTGCTAGATACATTGCCAGATAGAATGCCAGAAAATATGCCAGATAGAATGTCAGATAAAATTCCAGATAGAATGCCAGAAGATATGCCAGATAGAATGACAGATAGTATGCCAGACAAAATGCCAGATAGTATGCCAGACAGTATGCCAGATAGTATGTCAGATAGATTGCCAGATAGAATGGCAGATTGAATGGCAGATAGTATGCTAGATAGGTTGCCAGATAGAATGCAAGAAGATATGCCAGATAGAATGCCAGGTGAAACACGGGGATTACTTGAAGCTTGAAGCAAGATAATTTGGCTTGCATCAGTTGCATTTTGGCTTACATCAGTTGGGCAGTCCGTTGTGCTTGTGCTTGCTGGCAGAGGCTGGGCACTGTTGACTTTCAAGCGCACATGGCTTGGATCCGGCAATCATGGAGATTGAGTGCTTACTGATGCAGAAGCCAACATGTTGTGCTATTGTTTCGGTTCAAGAACTGGTGTGTTTGTGAAGAAAGGAAGCAGAGACAGTGTTTGTAGAGAAACGAAGATCTAGAACCAGAACATGCAGAAACCATAAAGTCATCATGTTTGTTGCTAATTAGTTAATTCACATTTGGAGCTTCAGTTCTGCGGCCATGGTGAAACATTCATGGCCACAAGGAGTCACCAGCTGGGAGGACACAGTGAAATTTGCGCAGTTACTGTTTGGTCGGGATGTGAATATTGAAAATTACAGCCGACGGCTGCCATTTCAGAGTGATGAAAGCTTTTTGTTGTTTGCGAAGGGGGCGTGCAAAGAACCACGTCCCTTTAGTTGCCTTCGCAATCTGATTGTTGCACAGTTCGAGGAGATCAAAGAGTATGAAATCTCCCGACGTAACAATGACATGAACCCGACCAAGTCGCGGCAGATGCTGAGTAAAGCTGGCAAGCATGTGCACTACTACAGCTGTCAAATCACAAAAGATGCTTGCACGCGCAGAACAATTTTTGGGGCTGATGCGCATCAGTCTGTGATTCCCACCAGTTCGTCTTTGTAGGTCAGTGGTGGCGAATTTCAAAAACAGTTTGACGAAATTGTGCGGTCCAATTTCAGGGCCTTTGGAAACCAGTCTGCTGTTCCTGTTTGGTTTAACAAGACGTGGCAGGCACTGTGGAACAAAAATGATCACAATCAGGATCATGGCATTTCAGCACATGCAGATTTGTCTTCGACATATTGGCACGGAGATCCCATCACAAGCTTCTCCTTTGGTCATGGTGGCATTCTGCAAGTGCTGTCGCAGAAAGGCGGCCCTGGTACTGCGAAGATGTTGTATCAGGAAGATGGAGATGTCTTGATCATGGCAGGAAAATTCCAAGAGGAATTTACGCATGCAGTTCCTTCGCGAAAGACCTGGGCGAATCTCTGCGCTATGGCTGGGAGCGGTTTTGTTGCAATGGAGGACTGGGAAAAGAAAGGTGTGGAGCGTGAAATCGCTTTACATGAGAGCAGAGATGCTCAGCAGCAGAACTTGCGCTTCAATTGCACACTGAGGTGGCATCATGCGCATTGGCAGGGTTGCTGTGAGTATGTGCGGCCTCCGGCGTCCATGGCAGTTGGGTCCTCACCAGTTTTGTCTGGGTCCGGCTTCGTCTGCAGCAGCGATGGCAGTTGGGTCCTCACCAGTTCTGTCTGGGTCGGACCTGCCAGCGCAATCTGCTGGGTCTGGGTCGCGACGTGTGATAGGGGTGAAGAAGCGACAGGTTGGTGCAGTTGACTCGAAGCCGTCGGTGCTGATTCAGGAGCCTGCAAAGGAGGACGCAGCTTTACTGCAGAAGTCTGAGAAGACAGTCCAGATCCTGTGGGACTGTCTGGGATCTATCGCGTCTCAGTCTGACATGTTTTGGCAGCTGCTGCGGTCGGTGCCACTGGTTGATGCACGAGACATGCATCGGGAAGCATTGCTTTCCATGGAAAGGGCATGCCTTTCCTGTAGAAACGAGCTGGAGCGAGCTTTGGAGGCGGTGGAGGACATGGATGTGCAGCTGTCTCCGCATATGAAGCCTTGAATGCGCTTGCTGTGGCAGCGCAGCAACGCAGGGAGATCCTATCTGGCTTTGGCAGCTTGCGTACTCGTGCGTCCATGTGAGTGGGTGAAGGAAGTTCTTCAACCGCGTTGGGACAATGCTTTGAAAGGTGATGTATCCTATTGGAAACTGTTACTGTCTCATCGGCAAGTGATGTCGTTGTTGAACGCAACGGATGTAGATCACACCAAATGGTACAAGGCTGTGAATTTGCGAAATGTCTGGGAGTGTCCTGCGGCAGTTCCTTGTGCTGGCAAGGACAGGACAGGAAAAGTCAAGCAGAATGCGCGCGCAGACTTTCTGCATGGTGTATATACCTTATCGGGTTGGCCAACGTTGCTCATCTGAGGGTTTGAGATGGGATTTTGCGATGACGTTGCTCGTGAATCTACACACCACCGACGTGTGCTTTTCCAGTCGCAATTCTTTGCAGAAGTGGCGGAAGAGAAAACGGTTGAGGTCATGGTGTCTGTCGTGAAGGACGCATTTTTGAAGTCTTTGCAGCACTTGCGGTGCTCGGATGTTGACAAGCGGCACATGGATCGCACCGACGGCCAGTTGGTGAGTGAAAATTCTGATATTTGGGTCTGGGCCAAAGCTGTGTGACCTTACCAGTGTTGTCTGGGTCGGTCTTGTCGATGCATTTGGTCGGCGCTCGGAAAGAATGAGAAAAAGCGGTTTGCGTGGTTGTGCGCAGGGGAAGGTTGAACATGAACATTGATTGGTCACTTTGGTCATGCAACCTTTGACAATTTTGTTGAGTTAATTGATGGTAACTGTTCAATCAGAGACAAACAAACCGAGACACACTAAGCATGTCTGTGCCCATGGTCATCTTTTGGCCGCTGTCAGGGGATGCGCTTGTACTTTTACTTCGTGCGGGTGTTACAGGCGTGGTGCTCTGTAAGTTGGTTGCTGCATTTGGACAGCAGTTGACTTCGAGTTCAGTTCGTTTGCCCAGATGCAAAAGAGGATCCTGGATTGGTACGTGAAAATGTTGGAGGGTCAGATGATGCAGAAGGATTTGAACCAGCGTTTGAAGATGCCCTAGACCCTAGACCCAGACTTGGATGGAGAGGTGAAACTTAAGGCTGGAGATGCGCCGCTGAAAGTACATCACCGCTTGACCGCTGATGAACGATCTCGGGCCTTGACATTTCACAGACAAAAGCATACCAAATTTGTTCGGGACATGATTGCTGCTGGTTTACTCCCTTTGACGTCAGATCAAGATGCTCTAGAGAAAGCGGCAAAGTACGAGCATGACTCCAAGGCAACACTACAAGCAAGGGATGAGCAATTGCGACTGAGAGAGAAAGTGCCCATGATCACACAAACGTTGCTTGACTCGCAGCGTGCTTGCATGACAGCTGACGCCATGCAATCTCACCGGTCTTGTCCGGGTCGATTGGGTGCAGCTGTTCAACCAGGAATGGTCCTGCCAACTGAAGGGCGCACGCAAGAAGAAAATACTGCGCCTGTGGCAAGCTGGCGACGCTTTGAGCAGCCTTCCGATGCAATGGCGAAAAAGGTTACAGAGTTCGAAAAGTCCATTGGCGGTTTCAAGCTGGCGCAGGAGCAATTGTGTGCTTGCACATGGTTTGGCGAAGCCACGGACGTCGCTTTACAAGAGGAAGAAAACAATGTACCACTTCGAAATCGCAAGCAGCAAGTATGTCTTTTGATCGGTGCTGGGGGCACTGGAAAAACTACCATTGTTTTGGAGCTCATGCTCGAAGTCTTTTGTCACTTCTTTCCAGCACGGGCTGGCGAAGAGGAGCGATACATCATCGCCACATTCAGCCATGCGCAATCAGATGCTTTCGAATGACACCTATACCGTGCTCGCACATGTCACACTGCTTGCTCCTATCGGGTGGCCAGTCTACGGAACAAGCATCTCGCTTTGAAGACCAAAGAAGAAGAAATGAAGCGACGATGGCAACCGAAGATCCTGGTCATTCAAGATGAAATCAGTTTAGCGCCGGCAGCTGTGGAAAATATGATGCTGTATCGAACCATGCGAGCACGCCAAGATGAAGGATTGGATCCGCCCAGTTATGCGCAGCCAGGTGAGTTGATGGGGCACATACCGATCTTGCTGATTGCAGGCGATTTCTTGCAGATCAATCCCGCCAATGAAATTTCACTGGCAGATGATTTGGAAGAGCTAGTGCGCAAAGCACCGCACAGAGTGCAATCAGAGCACTACGCTGCTCAAGCGGCGGTGATGAGCATTGAGACGGTCATTCAGACATTCACTTGAAGAAAACGAAGCGGTTTCTGGACGCGGAACTACCGGACATCACGGCAGCCATGCGTGTGAGCTCGCCCAGTGCACCTTTGCCAGAAGAGTGTTTAGCAAAACTGCGCTCTCGCAAAATTGAGAACTGCAGCAAAGACTTGACAACCGATCTCTTCAAACATGGCCATGTGGTGGGAATGTATTGGGAGAACATCGCTCGCAGCATGTTGGAAAGAGCGCGCCGAGATGCACAGGAGTTGAATGTTCCTCTCTTTTGTCTGCAGGCCGCAGACCAGAGACATGCCAGAAGGAAAAAGACTGCGGATGCGCAGTTAACACATCAGCTGCTCACTATTCCCAATCCTCACCGCACGGGCAAGCTGCAGGGCATGTTGCTACTGCATGAAAACATGGTAGTGCGCCTGGCGGATGTGCTAGCGCCGCACCTTGGACTGGTCAAGGATAAGTTGGCTGTGGTTGTGAAAGTGGATCTGCATCATGCTGATCAACAACGTCTGGCCAACCTAGAGCCGGGTTTTCGTCAGTTCTTTCCAGAGTTCATGGCGAAAGGTATCTGGGTCAAGTTGCTGAAAGGACAAAATTTGCCTATGGAAGAAACATTGTTGCAGAAATGGGACGAAGAATGCGCCGATGTGACGGAGCATGCAGCAGATGCCAAAAGTTTGCTCTTCGTGGAACTGGTTCATGCTGAATTCAAAATTGATTTGAAGATTGGAGATGAAAATGAGAAAATCGAAGTGATTCGTTGGCAGTTTCCGCTTTTGCATGGCATGTTGCGCACTGCGTACAGTGCTCAAGGCTTGACTTTGGATGGAGGAGTGGTGCTGGACTTACGTCGTGCAGGTGGATTGGAGGATTCTCACTGGTGGCTCGCCGTTTATGTCATGCTGACACGTGGTAGGAAATTGGAGAATTGAATCTGATCTTGTTGGGATTTACGGAGCGAGCTTCTGCGCAGTGGTCCTCCTCCGTATCTGCGACAACTCACTGACAAATTGGAAGCCAAAGCTGCTTTGACCTTTGAGCGCCTCCGCTCGTGGCCTGCCTACGATGCATCTTCTGACCGGTGATAGTGGCAGCTGCGTTGGCGCTGGCTGTGGCCTTACCGGTTTTGTCCGGGTCGGCCTTATAATGGCGGCAATATGTTGTGATCTGCCATTATGTGAGACGGCTATGGTGCGCAGGGCCTGTTTTGGCATGTTTGTTGCCATGGCTGAACTGTTTGTGATATTTCATGACTGACTCAGGCGGTGCGCACGGCATGGTTTGACATGTTTGTTGCAGACTGAACTGCATGTGACATTGCAAGACTGATTCAGGCGGTGTGCGTGGCATGTTTTGGCATGGTTGATTTTGGCATGTTTTGGATATTGCTCTTTCAGGTGGCACCCTGCCATGTTTATATCTGAACCGCTGCCAGGGGGAGCACTGACATGATTTGGCATGTTTTGGCATGTTTTGGATATTGCTGTTTCAGGTGGCACCCTGCCATGTTTATATCTGAACCGCTGTCAGGGGGAGCGCTGCCATGTTTACCAACTCTGTGTTTTGAGTCAGCTGGGCCTCTTTGAGATGTTTTCTGTCGCTGGGCCAGGTCAGACAAGATGAGGCGACCTCCATGACCGGCCCGTTAGTGATTATATTGTGGCGCAAAAAAAGTGCAGCGAGCATGTTTCTGAACCAGAATATCCTCACCATGACATTTATACAATAAAATGTATGAACGTCATGGTGGGATCACTCGAAGTAAAGTAATTATGTTTTTTCTTCGAAACTATACCGTGCTTATACAACGAGGTCAATTTCGAATTTCGAAGCGTCGGGTGCCACATGAACACAGATTTCTTGCATCATATATGCCCTGCGCCATTGAATTAAGTGAGATGCTTAATATTCCATGTTCTGCCATGGCATCGTTATAACCTGCCAAGGTCGTGCCCTGCCCGGAACTCTTCACTCCAAGTAGCTGGTCCAAAAGGCGCCCTGAACGTCGATGGAACTGAACTTGATAAAAAGCAGGACGAAGCACAGCAAAATTTTTGAGGTTGGCTGACCATTCTGCACTAGAAGGTTCGCGCATGAACTCGGATTTTCTGCCCCTTTTGCTTTCCCCAGCAAAAACTCTTTCAGCTAGTGAAATCTTGGACCTTCTAGTTCAAAGAGGTAGGAATGATCCATTCCCATCCCCGTGGGACAACAAGGCCCTTAGCTCCTAATAACAAGTAGCGGACCATGGCTGGTAAATCAGCATCGTGCCACAAGTCCCCCGTGTCACTAGCTTGCCACAGGTGAGCCAGCTCCGCGGCATCTTCCCTGGCGCTGGAGCGAGGCTCACTCTCCAGGACCTTTGGCATGATGGCCCTCATTTGCAAAGCAAAGGATTTGGTATAGAACCTAAGCCACTGTCCTCATGCCTTGCGCATAACAGTTATGCTGACCATTCCGAAATCAGCTAAGCTTGTGACTGTGTTGAGCGTAGCATCTTCGTGCCGCGAAATCTAGACTTTCCGGCCTTGTCTATATATTTCCGCACAGGCTTGAAAGAAGGGTTCTTGTCCTGCAGAGATTTCTTCATAGCAGCCGTCAACTTCCCCTCCAAAAATGTTTGATGGAGGGGTTGTTTGACCAAAGAGTTGTTCTTTTTTGGAGAAGCACTGCCATAGTGGGCCATCCAAAAGTGGCATTTCCATACCTGCAGCAAAAAGACTCATGGTACACATGCATACGGTGCACTACTATATTTAGTCTAAATGCCCCCAAAAGCACGTGAAGGAACAACCGCAAACCAGAATGATGACCTGGCCTTCATGAGGGAGCAAACCCACTGAAGTCGTGGGTGGCGAAACAGCAGACTGGAACGAGGTTGCTCCACAACCCAGGTGCCATGAAGGCACATCACTAGCAACAGCGTCAAGGCTAAACGACATGCTTGTAAATTTCCTTCCCGGACACACTTAAGGTTCAAATTTCCATGCGGGTCAAAGAATGAACGTAATGTCGGTGCTCTGCTGATGGCCACCCACGTGCTACACTTGATGCCAGACCAAGTGGTAAAGCCTTCCTGGGAACCACGGAGAACGCTGACCAGGTGTGTCCTGAGCAATTGGAAGAACAGGGTTCAGCTAGGTGAACCTGAGACAAACAAGAAGCTAAGGTTGGATCCCAAACTCGGCAGAAGTACATATGTCCATGCCACGACCGTATTCAATATCCAGTTTGGCCGCAGGATACTGTTCACGCAGGGTCTCCGTCATCACACCAGAGCCGGCATAGTGTTCAATGAACATGTAGGACTGCAACCATCCAAACACTAGCTGTCCGATTGAATATGAATTGGAAAGCATGCTAAAACCTGCCTCGTTTAGCTCGATTTGGGTGTTCCACATCAACAGCAAGATGGCGAGAATGAACATCTGCGAGAACGGCTGACGTTTTACATTCCTATTGGCGATTGAAAGTGAAGCAGCACATGTTAGAGAGCCCTGCCTTTGGTGCCCCAATCCGGAGAAGCTTCAAAGCGACGCTTGGGAACTTGCGCGCCATACTTGTTCAAATTAAGCGGTCACCCGGGGAAGCTAAGATCCAGCTTTACTACAAATCTCGCAGTGTTCAACCAACAACATCACAAGACAGCCTGCACAAACAAATCTGCGTGCACGATACAGTACACCTCCCCACATACTCCGCAGGACCATCCTGTCGGCTGAGCGCACCTGCCGGCTGCAATTCCGGAGATGGCCGACCAGGCAAGAAGCCCAGCAATCTCGCCGTAGTCATTCATGAGAATGTACCTGTGGGCACAATCAAGTCGAATACATAAAAAGTGTAATCCTATGAGAGGCTGAGAGGACACAAAAGGGTCCACACTAGAGGCTAGTGTGGACCCTTTGTGTCCTCTCAACCTGTGTTGGATTGCTAGATCCCTCGATCGATCGCCCTTGCACCCATAAACGCGTGTTTTTTTTTCCGCACCGCTATGGGTATCCGATCGATTGGTAGCAGAGGGCGATGGAATCAGATGGTTTCTACTTTTCTGCATGTGATATCTGAAGCCCCTAGTGCTACTCGCACGCTTGAACATCCAAAAATTGGGTCTATAGTTTGCAGACCCAAGGTCACAATCAAATTCATCATTGTTGATCAGAACCCCAACCCATATTGTCATCTCATCGCGCTCATCGCATTCATGACCTCAGGCGGCGTTGATGGTCTTCAGAAAGTTCTCGCCAAGTTCGGTGAGGAAGCTACCTGGACAAAGTGCTTTTGGGTGGACTGTGTTTTGTTGGGTGGTGTCCGAAAAATGTCCCTCAAGAAGAAAAAAAATCCCGTGGACACCCCTAATTGATCCAAAAGGAGGGATGAGCCAAAAGGTTGACAAAGACTGTCCAGGCGATGGGCCGATGTTCTCTCCTTTCAAGAATTCGATAGCAAGCGGTTGATCAATCTTGTTCACCCTGTAGGGCTTTCCGGCCGCGGATGTGCACTGAACCCACCACTTCTCCTGGAGCGGTGTTAATGGGTGTATCAGAATGATTACTTCGACATTGTTTATCCTTCAGCATATGAACAGAACAGGTACCATTCTGGACACCAAAGAAGACCTCTCCTCAGCTTTGGTATGGGAATGAAGCTTCTCGCGAAGAAAGGAGTCGTACATGTCCTTGACAGCATCCCAAAAAGCTCCACCAAGCTCTGTTGATGGCCGGTACCTCTTGGCAAATGTCGCCCTCTCAGGATCTGCCCGCTCCTCTCCCTCACCTGCCTTCACCTTTGCCTTTGCTCTCGGATTCCTGGGCTTCCGCTTCGCTTGCTGCTTCGCCTTTGCCTTCGCCTTCCCCTTCGGCTTTGCCTTCCCCTTCGGCTTTGCCTTCACCTTCGTCTTTGCCTTCCCCTTCGGCTCTGCCTTCGCCCGTCCTTTTGCCTTGGCCTTAGGCTTTGCCTTCCGTGTTGCGCCCTTGGCCATAGCCTCAGTCTCGGGTTCCTCTGGGGCATCATCTTCACCTTCTTCTTCCTCTTCACCTTCACAACGCTCCAAATCATCTTCAGCCTGCTCCTCCTCCTCCTCCTCCTCTTCCACCTCCTTCTTCTTGCGAGAAGGCTTTGCGGGCTTCTTGGGTGCTTTTGCATCCTCATCTTCTTCAACACTTTTCGATGTGCGCTTGCGACTCTTGGCTTTTGCCAATGCAAGCTGCTGATCATGCAGAATGTGCTGGATGTCACCTGGAGAATCCTGCAGGCCTATGGTCGCATTACGGAACCTTTTTACTTAATTTATTATGTCATATTATGTACACATATACACAATATTGATTGAATATGAGCACGAGGTTTTGCCAGCCCGTCCCTTAAAGACTCAGTGGATTCCAACTGCTCACGCAGTGCAGCGGCGGCGGCAGAAGGCTGGTGAGTGTTCTCCTCCGTCACTACCTGAGCTGGCTGGGCCTTCAGGTCAGGATGCTCCTCGCTGGGTAGCCCCATCTTCTTCTCAGGCGAGTCCACAACAACGATCTCACCGGCAGGATGACTCTTTCCTAACAGGCTCATGGGCAAACAAGACCAACCGCAACCACCAAGGCGGCAAGGCCTGAAAAAATTATATACACCTGACAGGTAATCTTTCTGATCTGAGGTTGGCGCAAATACCACAGAGAACGACATACCAAACTTCATCAAACTTTCACCTAGGCACCAGGTTCATGGCCATTGCCAGTCGGACGCGAAGAGTCTGAAGAGCACCTACCGGACTACCGGACACAAGCCCATGCATGTATAAAGTACAAACACCGACTTTCACCACATTGCCCCTAACGCTTGAAACCCGTGCCAAGCCTCAGTTTCTGCTTCACCACTTGCAGAAGCTGCTGGATGGCTTCCGGCTGGATTGGCGGAGGGCTCTGAGGGGAAGATGGCGATGGAA